ACAACGCCCCATTTCCCCCACCCCCAGCCCTGGCAGCCACCATTCTTTCTGTCTCCGAATTTGACTACTCTAGGTACCTCATATAAGTGGAATCATACAGTGTTTGTCTTTTTGTGACTGGCTTATTTCATTTAACATAATGTTCTCGAAGTTCATCTATGTTGTAGCATGTGTCTGAATTTCCTTCCTTTTTATGGCTGAATAATATTCCATTGTATGCATATAGCACATTTTGTTTATCCATTCATCTGTCCATGGACACTTGGGTTGCTTCCACCTTTTGGCTATTGTGAATAATGCAGTTATGAACATGAGTGTACAAATATCTATTTGAGACCCTGCTTTCAATTCTTTTGGGTATATACCCAGAAGTGGAATTGCTGGATCATATGCTAATTCTATTTTTAATTTTTTGAGGGACTGCCATACTGTTTCCCACAGCAGCCATACCATTATACATTCCCACCAATATAAGTGTCAACACTTATCATCTCTTGTTTTTTGGTTTTGTTTTTGTTTTTTGATTGTAGCCATGCTAATGGGTGTGAGGTGGTATCTCATTGTGGTTTTGATTCACATTTCCCAAATGCTTAATGTCTTTTTATTTTCTACTAAGTCTTTGAAAATCAGTGTGTATTTTACACTCGCAGCCCATCTCAATTTGGACTGGCCACATTTCAAGTGCTTAATAGCTGGCTACCATATTGGAAAATGTGACTCTCAAGGGGGAAGTTGGGAGCAATGGGTAGAAGCATGTAGGATTCAGGGACATCTCTAGTGTAAGGAAAAATGTTACAATCACTCGAGCTGCCTCAGGAGGGGCTGGGCATCCGGGGTGTCCCTGGTCCTTGGCAGGGATGGATACAAGGAAGGTACTGGCCTTGATGGCCTTCGGAAGTCTGTGGTTCGAGGTTGTTCCTCTTGAATGGCTGTGTGAGTGGGGGCAGTCGGTGCCTCAGACCCCCAGTGCCGCCGGCTTCTGCAGAGGCTGTTTTGAACTCTCCATCCCAACAGGCCTACTGATCTTTTTGTCATCACACACCGGATGGGAGTCTGGCTGTAGCCAAGTGGTGGGAGGCTGGGCCTGGGGGACGCTGCCAGCTTCCTTCCCAGAACTCTGCCTTGACCCTTTGCTGCCACCCTGCGTCCCCCTGGAACCTGTCTAATCAGATCCAGGCCTGACCTCGCCAGAGGTCCTGGACCAGGAGGAAAGCCCCCTCCCCTCCCTGAGCCCCTCTAGATCTGGCTCTCAGGAGACCCCTCCCCTCGGGTGATTTATAGGGGTGTCCAGGAGCCATTTCCTGCCTGTTTCTGCTCCCTTCCAGCCCGTGGATAGCTGGGCTCTCTCTCTGCCCCTGTCTTTCCCTATGGTGGGGCTGTACCCATGGTTGGAACAGGGAGGCTGGGCGATTCCTTCTCAGATTGCTTGGGGACAAAGGTGCTTTCTTCTTCCTTTCTCCACAACTGCCCCCACAGAGGCCTTTGTCCTCCTGTCGCTGTCTCTGGTCCTCACACTGGAAGGGCCTCCCAACCACTGCCCTTTACCCTATCTGATCACCCAGCTTGAAGTGAGGGACCCAAAACTGTCCCTACCTGAATATACAGGAAGGACAGGTGTTAGCAGGAGCATAAAAGCATCGACAGCCACAGGCCACAGTACCACTTTCCTGTCCACCAGCCACAGACACAATACCACCGACAATGGCCACAAACAGTGTCTCCAGCCACAACAGTCACTTGTGTACACCATCAGCAGCCACACAGTGGCCTCCAGGATGACTTGTTCAGGGCTCAGGGCACTCAGAGATCCAGCCTTTGGCCACACATACCCATGCTTGCCCAGGGACCCTCACCCCAGAGGGACATGATGAGGGACAGCTTCCCCCTGGCTCTGTGGCCTGCTCGCACAAGCCAAGGCAAAACAGACTAGTAAACCAAACATGTCCCACCTAAGAGATGGGAGGAGGCCTAAGTGTCCCTGAGAAACTTTCTTCTCTGACTTCCTAAAGAAAAAATGCTACTACCTGTGAACTAGAAGTGCATGGAAGATTCTAAGAGACCCCAGCTAAGCTGAGCATGGAGAAGGGCCTGTTTATGAAGGTGGCAGGAGTCAGAGCTGGAAGCGCCCTGGAGAGTACCCTTTCACCCCTTCATTTATGAATGGGAGGACCAGGGCTCCAACACTGCCTGCCCAGGGGCTCATGGCAATCCCTTGGACACCTACGGGATAAGCAGGGCTGACCCAAGGGCTGGGTAGGAGTATGAGGAAGGGGAGGGAAGAAGGAGCCTCCGATGAAGGGGACCACACCCTCCTATTGCACCCACCCCCCGGGGCCACGCCTGTGTAGGCAGCTGGGCTCGGAGGGGAGGGATTGAGGAACCATCTCTGAGCTTCATTATCCTCCCTGCAACTAGCAACAGGACACCAACTCGCAGCCAGAGAGAAGAGGCAGGTCCCAGATGCGTTCCACTCTGGGGTCACCTGCCCTTGGAGAGTGAAAAACTCGCTGGAGAACTAAGGGACAGGACACCCCTGCAGAGGGCCTGGGGCATGGGACTTAATTTGGGCCTGGTAGAGCCACCACGTGGGCCTGGGCCTCAGTTTCCCCTTCATGGAATGAATGGATTGGCTTTAGTGGCTTTCAAGCACTTTTAAAGGCAAAGCTATCCTTCAAATGAAATGTTTGGCAGAACTGCCATTAAGTAAAGCTGATAGAGAGGTGCTGTGAGGTGCTGCTCTGATGGGAGGGGAATGTGGAGCCCCAGGCAGGGAGGGGGCTCAGCTGCATGCAGGGGACCCAAGGGACCCCTTGGAGTCCTGCTGTGCGCTGTGAAGAGGGTCAGACTGGCTCCTTGCCTACCGCCCCTTCCTGCCCCAGCATCACATTCAACTCCCGCTGCTGTTGGGTGTCTAGTTTTGGGGGAGGAGGAGGGGCTTAGAGGTAGAGGCTAGGCTGACTCCATCCCCAGCCCCCTGATGAGAAGCAGCCCTTTCCCTGTATCTCTCCTCAGGCCAGCTCCCAGCTCTAGGTGCCTCCAGGGAGCCCAGGATGGGGGCTAGAAACACAAAAGGATTCAGTTCCTTAATGAGGAGGCATCTGTAGTCAGCAGAGCCATTAGTCCCCACCCCAGGTCCCTGGGGGGCTTGGAGCTCCTCTCCAGCTGGAATGAGGAGGGGGCAGGCAGCTTCCCAGCTCCTGAATGGGCAAGGCCCCGGGTGCACAGACAGCTGACCCAGGAGCCTGGGTGCCCTCTCCACTCCCTGGGCCCATGTCCGGTCCTGCTTTCCTGGAGGTTGAGGCCTGGAGGCAGTAGAGGGGCCCCAGCAGTGCCTCGGCCCCCTCCCCCAAAGCCCTGGGCTGACCTGCAGGCCCTCGGCCAAACACAGCCTTTGGCCTGAGAGAGAGCAGGCTGACCTCATGGTGCTCCCTGGGGATCATCTCACCAAACCTGATTGGGGACACCAGCTGGGGCACTTGCCCCCACCTCCCACCCCGAGGGCCCTGAGGTACCCTTCGTAAGGGCTATACCTACATAGGGACATGCATGATTGATTACCTACACGGTACCAGAATCACACATCAGCCACAGGAGCTGAGGGGTACAAACCCCATTCACATCCAGCCGTGGACACTCACACCACATACACGGAGACAGCCACATCCTCCTGGCAAACACAACCCACTCACATGTGCAAGGAGGTGCTCACACCTATCAGCCACACTCCCAGGAGGCCCTGAGAGAGGAGGAGGCAGGGCAGGGGATTTTTATGCATGTTTATATTTAATGAACCACATGCAAATGAGATGGAGAACACGCCACAAAAGAGTCAGCCCCCAGAGACTCTGGGAAGAAGGGCACAAAGGCTCGGCCTTTTGGGTCTGCCCTGGAGTCCAGAACAGGCCAGAGGATGAAGGGGACCTGAGACGGGGTGTGCCCACCCACAGCAGGGAGCCAGGAGCAGGAGCCAGGACAAGCTCCAGTGTCTCTGCTGCTGTGGGGGGAGGGCTCCTTCTGGGAGGGGACGATTGTCCCAGTTGATGGAGTGCTGGAGGGGAGGGGCTGCCTGCCTGGACAGATGGCGAGCCGCCTTCCCGCACTTGAAGCAAAGTGGATTTTAATGAAATCGCAGCCCTGGTGCTGAAGCTGGCAGCCCGCGTGGGAGGGGCCCCTTCCCTGGGTTTTACAGGTTGGGGTTTGGGGATGGGTGGGAATGAGGGTGGGCAGGAACACATAACCAGCCTAAAATGGGTGGGGGGTGATGCACCACAGCCCCTCTGTGCTGGCCCCTGCAGAACAGAGTTCACGGTATTAGTTCGATCCCCAAAAGGTGGGGAGGGGGCCCCTGAATATTTATGACACATTGAAATGTAGATTGGTAGGTCTGACAGTCTTCTGAGAGGCTTGTCACCTTGGAGGGATACACCATCCTTGTGGGGTACATCGACAGGCTGCAGAAGAACTGGGGGTAGGAGGGTGATGAGAGGGGCAAAAAAAGCCACCGTGCGCTGGTACCCAGGGTCTAAAGACCGACATCCCTGCTGGGTGACACGACTTCTCCTCTCTGGGCTTCAGTTTCCTATTCTGTAAAATGTGCAACATAATACCTAGGCCTTGCATACCTTAGGGGGAGTTCATAAAAATAAATCCAAAAGCAGCTGAAAAAGCGGGGGGCAGAGCTTTCTCTGACTGGCCTTTGTGGGTCGGCAGCCCAAGATTTCCTTTTTAGAGGTTCGTCATCCAATAACTTGTCTAGACCTTTCTCAAAGTGCCCCAGCCCAGCCTGTACCACCCCTTTGGGGGAGATGTTTCCCACGGGTGGAGACAGGGTAAAGCCTGATGTGTCCCCCAAGCCGTTGCCCTGCATCTGCCAGCTCCAGGAAGACCCCTGCCCTCAGCAAGTGAGCTCCAGGACACAGGCCTGTGAGCCCCACACCCCACCTCCCCCCTGCACCTCTACAGGGTGCCTTTCTTATGTACATTCTCCTTTCTTTCTCCAGCCATGTCGGACTTCCATGTGCATCCCCAGGCTGCCGTGGGCGAGGAGGGTGGTGTGGCCCGTTTCCAGTGCCAAATCCATGGGCTTCCCAAACCCCTGATCACATGGGAAAAGAACAGAGTCCCCATTGACACTGACAATGAGAGGTGAGCCTCGCGTGGGAAAGATGGAGGGAGGGCGGAGAGGCAGGCCCAGTGTCTGAGCCTTGGAGAACGACTGCCCGCAGCCCTGGGTGCGGAAGCCGGTGCCCACAGGCACCTGAGACAGTGGTGTTTCTGCACCTGTGTTAAGGCTGAGTATCCGAGTGGCTTGTCAGGCCCAGAGTCAACCCTCTGGGATGTGTCTGTGAGAAGGACTGTGTGTGATTGTTGTCAAGGCTGGAATTGCGGGTGCATCCACTTGTGAGGGTCCCGGTGTGTGTCTGATGACGATGGTGACATCGGGGCAGTGCCTGGGTATTGGGCTGTTTATGTGATGCTCAGTGTCCCTGTGGCCTCTAGTGCCCGTAGCTATGCTAGTGGTCAACTGTGCCCCCCTCAACAGGTACACGTTGCTGCCCAAGGGCGTCCTGCAGATCACAGGACTTCGGGCTGAGGACAGCGGCGTCTTCTACTGTGTGGCCTCGAATATTGCCAGTGTCCGGGTCAGCCACGGGGCCAGGCTCACCGTGTCGGGTGAGGGTCCTTTGCCATGCTGGGTTCTTCCTGCAACCGTCCTCTTGACTTCTCCCCACCTTCAAATCAATCCCCCTTCAACCGACCCCTGGAGACTTGTCAGCCAAGTGTGTGCAGAGCACCGTCTAAGCACAAAGCTCTGTGCTCCTCGTGATGAGGGTTCAGAAGGAATCTGAAGCCCACTCTCTGGCTCAGTTCCACCTGGGGAAGCCCATCCCCGCTCATCCCGGGGGCTCTCCCACTGCTAGAGGCCCTGCAGGCCCCGGAGTGGACGGATGGGTGTAAGCGACAGCCTGGGGCCCCTGGCATCTTCTCTCTGCTCAGCGGACCTGGTTTCTGAGCTGGAGCTTGTTTCCCACCCTCTATGTCCTGGGTGATGGGTGGGGCGGGGTGGGAAGGGTCCCAGCTGAAGTGAAGAAACATGGCGTCTTCCTCCCAGGCTCGGGCTCCGGGGCCTACAAGGAGCCGACGATCCTCGTGGGGCCTGAGAACCTCACCCTGACGGTGCACCAGACCGCTGTGCTGGAGTGTGTCGCCACGGGCAACCCGCGCCCCATTGTGTCCTGGAGCCGCCTGGGTGAGCCTGGTCCCGCTGCCCCTGCCTCTCCCAGCCCTAACCCACCCCATGGGAGGGCCCGTCTCATCACCCAGCTCTGAGGAGGACTTTGAATCCTGTTTGTTCTCCCGGGGGGGTCTGTTTTCTCTGAAGCCTGGGGAGGGGCTGTTTCCCTCTCCTTGGCAGGACCCGGGAGGTCCGGCTGCCCGCTGCATTCTCCCTCCCCCTGCACAGATGGCTTAGCTCCCTGGTTACGTCGGTCCAGTCCTGGCCGTCCTGCACCAGCTCCCCCCATCCATGCTCCCCTCGCCCTCCAGAACCCCTCTGCTGCTCTCAGCACCCCTAGACTCTCTGCCCTCCCGTACCTCCCTGCGCTCTATACCCTGGCCACACTCCCCAGCTGTGCAATCCCAAACCCCTCAAAATCTCAGCCAGTTGTCAAACCCTCACTCTGGCCCCCCAGTCTCCAGCGTGGCCCCCTAAATCCGCCAGCCTAAATCCCTGGGCAGCTGAGGGAGAGAAATGAAAGGGTGCAGATGGGCCCACATTGTCTGAGCAGAAAGGTCACTGGGGGAAGGAGAGTCTGGAGGGGCTGGGGTGGGGTGGGCATTCACAAGGAGACTGCGCCACATTGTAGCAGCTGAGTGATTGGGGAAGGAGGGGGCAGCAGGCGGGATAATGGAGTAGATTTCACCACTTCAGGGACTGAATGGGGAGCTGTCTCCTTGCATTCTGACTGTGCTAATCTGATCCTGGGGTAGGGGGAGGACCCGGTCCCTGGGAGAGGCTGAGAAGAGTGGCCTCACCATTAGGAGGAGCCCATAGGCACTGCAAGGACCATCTGGTCCATCATTTCCCCAAGCGTGATCTGCAGGGGAAAAGAATGGCTTGGTGGTCTAACAAGTTTGGCAAACAGAGTCAACCAGGTCTCTTTGCTGCAGGACTTCTCAGAGCCTTTATATTAAGGGATACTATGACTGTCCTGGAATGGAATGGATATTTGACTATGGAACTTCTTTCAAGAGAGATTAACCAGGCTGGGAAATGTCCATCTAATCCAAACTCCTCGCTTTCCTGATTGAGAAACTGAGGGGAAGGGACTTGAAGGTCGCCAGTGAGTCAGTGACAATGGTAGGATTAGGAACTGGGTCTCTGTTGCTAGGCGAGAGTTTTCCGTGCTGCTTCTGCCGCCTCCACAATGGCGTGATGCTGCAGAGTCAAAGGTTGGGGCTCCCTGGAAGATTGGTAGTACTGTCAACAGTCTGGAATGTTCCTGCACTTCCCTGCTTCCTCATCTGTCTGCCTGGCCCTCCCTCATCCCCCTCCCGCTTCCTCCTCAGATGGCCGCCCCATTGGGGTGGAGGGCATCCAGGTGCTGGGCACGGGGAACCTCATCATCTCCGACGTGACCGTCCAGCACTCGGGTGTCTACGTCTGTGCGGCCAACAGGCCCGGCACCCGGGTGAGGAGAACCGCTCAGGGCCGGCTGGTGGTACAAGGTATGGACCTCCCACCCCCAGCAGAGGGAGGGAAGAGCCTCCCACACAGCCCCCTCCTCCTGCCCCATTCCTTGCCTCCTCAACATCCCTGACCAAGCCCCGTGTCCTGTGCTCACCCAGTTTCCTATCCCCGCCCGAATCCTGTCCCCTGCCCCTCCCCAGGCCCTCAGGCCAGGCCAGAGGTGGCAGCTCTCTCCTCTCTCCCCGATGCTGGTGTGTTGGGAATGGGAGGACATTCTTGGTCATCCAGCCCGTGAGTGTCCCTCCAGGTGCCACTGCCACTCCCTCGCCTCCCCCCGAGTTATTTCCACTTTCTAATCTCAGCTGGTTTCCCTGCCTGTGTCACTCACACGTGTCCCTCCCCCCACGTGCTGTTTTCATTCACACGAGTGGCACTGCCGTGCTCACACCTGCCTGTGCGCTCTCAGTGTGTTTGTCATTTCTCATGCTCACACCCCACCTCCCGCCCCACATGCAGAGCTGGCCTCCACTCCCGTGGTGTGCAGGGCCTCTGCCGCTGAGCAGGTCGTTCTGTCCATCCTTCTGCCCTGGGCTCAACTGCCCGGATGCGCTGGGCTTGGTTTCCCATTCTCAGGGGTTTCTGTGGCTGTTCCCTCCCGGGGTGGGAGAGAGGGGAATTAGGAACTTAAATGCTGTTTGTTTAGCATTCCATGTACCGTTAATCTGCCCAAATGAAAGTGATGGAGCATTTCATTTCTTGGGTGTAATGGAGTCTTGAGGCCCGGGATTGGAGGAGAGTGGAATTGAATGTAGGGGTGAGGGGGCCTGTACTGAGGGCTCATCCATCTCCCTGCCTAGGAGGTGCAGCCAAACCTATTAGCACATTTATTTATTTAACAATTTCCTGAACAGGGAGCTCAGCTTGATTGCTTTCGGATACAAATGTCAGTCTTTTAAATAGTTATTAAAATGGAGTCCTCTCTTGGGTCTGCCTCTCTGGGGTGAAGGAGGTGTGGCCTGCCACCATCTCCCGGAGCCTGGGCCTGGGTGGAGGGTGAGCCCCCATCGGAGGATTCTGCCAGAGGTGGACGTGTGTCCCCAGCAGACCTCCGGCCCCATCCCCTCTTCTCCTTTCCTCATCCCTTCGCTCACAGCTGTCTCGTCCCTCTCCAGCTGACCCTCATGACTCCTCATACTTCTCTGTGCCCCCCACCCCAGCCCCAGCAGAGTTTGTCCAGCACCCCCAGTCCATCTCCAGGCCAGCCGGGACCACAGCCATGTTCACCTGCCAAGCCCAGGGTGAGCCGCCGCCTCACGTCACGTGGTTGAAGAATGGACAGGTGCTGGGGCCAGGAGGCCACGTGAGGCTCAAGAATAACAACAGGCACGTGTGGTGTGTGCTGGGCTGAGGCCTAGGAAGAGGCGGGAAAGGGGGCCTGGAAGGAGTGGCCTGGGCAGGCCGTGCACCTCCCGCCAGGGAACAGCACGAAATTGGGAGTCTGGAGACTTGGGTTTGAGTCCTGGGTCTGCCCCTAAACTTGCTGAGAGACCTCAGACAAGTCGTTTGTCTTCTGGAGGGGCTCAGTTTCTCCATCTCTCAACTGGGGAGATCTGGCTGACCTCGAAGGATGCTCTGAGAGGAGGAGGGGATCTGAGGCTCTCCCTCCCCCTGCAGCACCCTGACCATTTCTGGAATCGGCCCTGAAGATGAGGCCATCTACCAGTGCGTGGCCGAGAACAGTGCTGGCTCCTCACAGGCCAGTGCCAGGCTGACCGTGCTGTGGGCTGAGGGGCTGCCCGGGCCCCCTCTCAATGTGCGGGCGGTCTCCGTGTCATCCACTGAGGTCCGTGTGTCCTGGAACGAGCCCCTGGTCAACACCAAGGAGATCATCGGCTATGTCCTGCACATCAGGAAGGCCACCGGTGGGTGGGGGCTGGGAGGGCAAGGCTGGCTCTGCAGCCTCTTCCCCCTCCACTGTTTCTCATCCCTGTCCATCCTGCAAGACCTGACCCAACACCTTCCATTCTTTCTCCCCCCTGCACCCTGGCTGCCCTCATTTCACCAATGCTGGTAGGACTCCTTCAGGCCCCTTACACGCCTCTGCCCTACCCCTTGCCTCCCCAGACCCCCCAGAGCTGGAGTATCAGGAAGCAGTTAGCAAGAGCACCTTTCAGCACCTGGTGAGCGACCTTGAGCCCTCCACTGCCTACAGCTTCTACATCAAGGCCTACACACCAAGGGGAGCCAGCTCAGCCTCCACCCCCACGCTGGCCAGCACCCTAGGAGAAGGTGAGGCCTGGGTGTGCAACACAAAACTGCAGATACTCGGGGTATTGGAGCAGACCCGCCATGCACACTTGTTCAGGTTGTGCACTGCACAGGGTGCCTGGCCCTGAGGCTCAGTGGGGGCTGGGTCTACCTGGAGGAAGGGGTATCCTTTTCTAATTTGTGTAAAGGTGCTGTTGGAGCGAGCAGAGGTCATGGGTCAGAGGCCAGAGAGCTGTCGGGCTCCTGGGGTTCTGGGTCACAGATGGAAGGTGGAGGGTAGAGAGAGCTGTGAGTGCTCACATCTAGGCCACCTTCTCTGCCCGCAGCCCCCGCCCCACCCCCGTTGTCTGTGCGGGTCCTCGGCAGCTCCTCCCTGCAGCTGCTGTGGGAGCCCTGGCCCCGGCTGGCCCAGCACGAGGGTGGCTTCAAGCTGTTTTACCGCCCAGCAAGCAAGGCCTCCTTCACCGGTCCCATCCTGCTGCCCGGGACCGTCTCCTCCTACAACCTCAGCCGGCTTGGTGAGGCAGGCGCAGCTGGGCTTGGGGAGCTGGGCAGGGGCGCAGAGGTCACCACTATTTCCCCACTTGGACAGAGCCACCCGGCGGGGGCTGGGACAGTGGCTGAGCCACCCTGCCTTTTCCCCAGACCCCACTGCAGTGTACGAGGTGAAGCTGCTTGCCTACAACCAGCATGGGGACGGCAACGCCACAGTCCGCTTCGTGTCCTTGAGGGGAGCCTCTGAGAGGACAGGTGAGGGTTGTGGATGAGGCGTGGAACTCCAGACTGGCTTGGGAAGGGAGGCCGGGGCTGAGGGAGGAGGGGCGCAGGGATCAGGGAAGCTAGGAGGGTGGAGTAGTGCTGCAGCCCTCAAGACCATAGGCTTAGACCTGAGTTCAAAGTTTGGCTGTGATCGCTTCTCAGCCTTTTGGCTACGATCAAGTGCAAAGTGTGGCTGTGCAACATTCTAGCTGTGTGACCTTGGGCAAGTTACATAACCTCTCTAAGCCCCAGTTTTCGCCTCTATAAAACAGGGATACTAATACCTACTTTATAGAGCTGTGGCGAGGATGAAATGGTCCGTGTAAAGTGTTATTCCCAGTATCTGATGCAATGTTAGTGCTCAATAACTGGTAAAAAGAATCAAAAGGTTTGGGGTGGGGTCCCATAGGCAAGGGCAAAGGGTATATGGACTTGGGGGTGGGAGCAGCTGAGGGAGAAGGAGCCCCCAAAGGCCGGGTGTCTGGGGGTGCTTCGGGCCAGGAGAGCCCCCGCCCCGAACCTATCCCTAACCCCCACCCCAGCCCTGAGCCCGCCATGTGACTGCCGCAAGGAGGAAGCCACCAACCAGACATCCACCACGGGCATCATCATTGGCATCCACATCGGGGTCACCTGCATCATCTTCTGTGTCCTCTTCCTTCTGTTCGGCCAAAGGGGCAGGTGGGTCCTGGGCCGGCGAGGGGCCGGGCTGGCCCGGGGTGGGAGGGGCCTGGAGAAGAAGCTGCTGCAGGGGAAGGAGAGTTTGGGGCTCCTTGCGTGTCCTTTTGTTCTTGCTCCCTCCCACATCCTTCCCCTAACTCTTGGCTCACCCCTCAGGGTCCTCTTGTGTAAGGATGTGGAAAACCAGCTCTCCCCTCAGGGCCCTCGGAGCCAGAGGGACCCTGGCATCCTGGCACTGAATGGGGCAGGACAGGCAGAGCGGGGCCGGCTGGGCCGAGACGAGAAGCGTGTGGACGTGAAGGAGCTAGAGCAGTTGTTCCCCCTGGCTGGGGCAGCGGGACAGGCAGACCCCAGACCTAACCCCAGACCCACGGTGAGTGCCCTCACCTTGAGCAAACCTCCTCCTCCACGCTCTCACCACCTCCCAGTTCTGCCCTCTCTGTACATTGGTCGCAGGCCTTGGTCATCAGCCTTTCCCAACGCACAAAACTTAGGGCTGGTGTTTCTCTCTGTGCCCCTGAATGAGGCAGGAAGGCCTGGTGACCCTAAGCCTTGAGTGGGGTTGGATCCAGAGCCTGACCCTCTGGCTGGGGGTTCCTGGGCTCTGGCCTTCACGCTGACACCTGTGTGACCAGTCCTTTCCCCAGCAGGATCCTGCAGCCCCTGGCCTGTGTGAGGAAACCCAGTTCTCCATGCTGCCGCTTCAGGGGTTCGGCCTCCTGGAGGAGATGACGTCAGAGGCCAAGGCTCCCTGTGCGGGCTCTGCGGCTGTCCCGCTACCCCAGGATGCAGGCCCCGGCCTCCCTAGTGATGGACAGGTTGCCTGGCCTTCCATGGCACCAGTTGCCCAGCCAGCTCTCTCGGGACAGTAGACAGTGTCTGGCAGGCTCCGGTGGGGGGCAACCCCCCATTCTCAGGTCAAAGGCAAGATTTCTCCTGTCACGTGGGATTTGGATGGGGGCTTCCCAGCATTTCTGTCCTGACTGCCCCTCAGGTTGTCAAGACCTAAAGTAGTCTCAGCGGGAACCCCCCCAAGGACCTGGAGGGGTCGCTGCAGGAGTCCCTGCCTTGGGCTAATGCCCCCTCACCTCTGCCTGGCACCCATGTGACTCGGAACTGAACTAATGTTTCCCTTCAAAAAAGAGAGAGAGAGAAGAGAGAGAAAGGTGAATTAGACTCCAAAAATACGCCCCTGCGGTAGCTGGGCCCTGACATGGTCATTCTCCGCCGACCTTGTTTTCTCAGGATGGATTGTTGCTGTTTTGGCTCTCAGCACCTACCTCAGCCGGAATGAATGTCCTTAGGGGCGGGGGCCGAGGCCTCAGTCCCCTACCCCTGCAGAGCCCCGAATGCACTCCTACCTCAAGCCCGTTTAGGGGCCCTCCCTCTCCCTCCCCACATTATTGTCCAGAGTTTAAAAAAAAAAAAAAAAAAAGGAAAAAAAAGCACTTCCCCGTTTCCAGGTGTGAAAGAAACCGTCTACCTCAAGGCTCGCTGGCTCTCCGGGCCGTGCTGTGTCACTGGACCCTCCCTCCTGGCTCCTCCTGCCCAAAGCACCCCCCATCTCTCCCCCAGAGAGGAGGCCGGAGGCTAAATCACCAAGGGTGGGCCTCTCGGGGCCTACAAAAATAAAGATGAAATTGGTCAAAGTAAATGTGAGAAAAAGCCAAAAATGAGGAAATATAAATATATGAAATATAAATCATTGCTCCAAACTAGCTGCCTGCCAGCACACTGCCGGTCCTCTGTCCTGTCTTATTGTCTCGACTGTTCATTCCCATTTTGACCCTCTCAGCCAACTCGTCCTTGATTAGGATCCCGAGGACCCTCTCTCCGCCTGGGCCTCGGGGGGTGGGCGTCCCCCCCAGCCTGCCTCCTGTCGCTCCCAGACGCGGAGGCCCTGGAGCGGGCTGGCCCCTGGAATGTACTGTGTGAGTGACGGGTGTGTGCGTGCGTGGGGGGCGGGGGGTGGTCCCCAGCAGAGGCGCCCCTGCCCTCTGTCCCATGGGACACAGCCAGCTTGACCCACCTCCCGGACAGTGGAATGACCACTGTCAGCAGATGCGGCCGGAAGCTATTTTTATACAAGGTGTGTTTAAGGATTCATGTTCTTGTGACTTCTTGTTTCTCTTTCTGTTGTGTTGTTTTTTTGGAATACTTAGTTAAAAAGAAGAAAAAAAAAAAACCAAGGAAACAAATACTTATTTTTGGTTACACTCAGAAACATTTTTTTAAATAGCAGAAAGAATACTTTTTTTTTTTAAAGGAAAAAAAAGATGTGTATTCCTTAAGTATAAGATTAGACCACAAAGTCCCGGACCCCCAACCCTCTAGGGACCCCCACCCCAACCTTTAGTTCATTAGCTGAAGAAGGCAGACTGCGGTGTTTTCCTGGAGGACTGGAGTCGTGTCCGTGTGGACTCAGTGAAGGGCAAGTCGTTCCTTCTCCCAAATGCAGGGCCCATGCCGGGGGCCCCTCACACCTCCTGGGCAGTGCCCCTTGGTCCCCGCAGCGGCTTCTCTGCACCCCGCTTCATCCTGGAACCCCTTCTCCTGTGGGAAGGGTGGGTCTGGGGGAGGAGAAGGTGGGGGGCCACCTGGCTTGACTTGACCCGACTTTTGTCACACTCTACTCATTTTGACTGAATAAAAGTCCTGTTGCCAAAGTGAACCTCGAGTCTTTTGATGGCTGCGTCAGGCCCTGGGGAAGGGGTGGGAGTGCAGGGGGCCAGGCAGACCCTCACAGGGTCAGAGCCCAGAAGGACAACAGCAGACCCTTATGTACCACTTACAGGCACCATGCGTGCGGGGTCTTCTCCACAGGTGGGGAGGTTCCTGGGTCCTCATGACCACCCTGGGAGGTAGACATTCTATCTATCATTATCTCCATTTTACAGATGACGAAACCAAGAAAGGCTAAGAGAAATGAAGGAAATGTCCAAAATCTCACAGTTTGCATCCAGGCCAGGTGGCCCAGTCCCAGGGTCGGCATTCCAACCACTGCTCCTCCAGCCACTGCTCCGTGCCTCCTTCAGACCAGTCCTTCAGCTCTGTTGTGACTGTCCGCAAGCCTGGGGCTGGGCAGGGCTATGTGCCTTTCATGCATTGTCTCGAGGAAGGACTTTTTTCCTCCCCATCCTAAAGTTGAGGAAACTGGGGGTCTGACCGAGCGACTCTTTCCAGGGCACACAGCCAGAACTCCTGGCTAGGCCTCTCCATTCCTCCCTGTCCTCGCCTTAGTCCAGGCTCCTGAAGCCAGGTGTCTGGGGCTGCCAAGGCTTAGGATCAGCCAAGAGAAACTTGGCTTAAAGGTGGTTGTACTGACAAAGATCTGGAGATCTTAGCGAGCCTCAAGCTTAGTTAGAGGCAATGGTGTGATGGGACTACTTAGAATGTCAGTGTCCCCTCTGCTGCTGGAAGGGACAGCCAGGGCTCACCCCTGGGAGGCCCGGCTGGTCTGGAGGGCCAGGTTCTGTAACCAGAGACACCTTTTGAGAGGAACAAACCAGGATAGTGGTTTGCAAGCTGAGTTCTCCGGCTGTGGCTAGGGGTGTGGGGGGTTCCACTCTCCTTGCCCACCCTCACCCAGAGCAGCTCCACTTTTCTCTCTCTGATGTTGGACTCTTCCTGAGATTTCACTTGAAAACAGGGTTCTGCTCCTAAAAGAACGTTTGAAAGCCTCTGATCTGGCCCTTCTGGAAGAGGCCTGCAGGGATGGTTGGGGCCAAGGTCAGGCCAGAAACAGTGATGGTGCTGTGGATGCTGAACTGAGAGGAGAAGCCTGAGGCCGTCCTGGTACCTGTCCTGCGTCTCTAGGGAAGTGGTTGATTTGCCCCGATTTTCCCGGAGGAAAGAACTGAGCCCAAATAGAGATATAATATATCATCTTTCTTTACAGAGAACTTCGCAGCACAGAAATTCCTCAATAGCTCCAGCCATCCAAGGGCTGTCTGGGGGCAGGTGGATTTGCCGTCTGTTAAGTGGACCCTGCAGCAGGTGAGAGGGTAGGTCAGGTAACCTCCAGGGCCCCTGTCTCCTCCAAGAGTCCAAGATGCTGGTACCTTCCCCAGGGAGGATACCACCTAATATGACCCATGAAGATGTATGCAAATTGCACACAAATTCCATGCAAATAGAGGCAGGGCCTATTCTAACAAAGTCCTGAGCCGGCTACAGCAGAGGGAGAAGCAGAGTTCCAGTTACGGAGTTTAGCAGAAATAGGTGGCAAAGCTGAGTGGCCTGGCTGGAGTCTGGGTCCTGGAATCTCGAATAGTCCAGAGGCCTCTGGCTAAAGACACCCCTCCCACACACCCACACCTCCACACCCCCACTGACACACTATCTTTGGGTAAAAAGCAGCAGCAGCCAGGGCTTGCAATCTGCTCCAACCGTCTGACGCTCTGTACAAACCACCTCACGACTGAGGGGTTGAACGTAAGACTTCTTTTGCTCAGGAATCTGCAGTCTGGGCTGGGCTCAGCAGGGCAGCTGTGTCCACTCCACTCGGCATCAGCTGGGGCAGCTTGAAGCCTAGAGGCTGGGATCATCTGATAGCTTGCTGGCTCCCATTGATGCCGGCTTCGTGCCCCAACACCCACATGCAGCCTCTCCGTGTGGCCTGGGCTTCCTCACAACATGGTGGCTGCCTTCCAAGGACAAGCTCCTGAGAGAGAGCCAGGTGGAAATTGCATCATCATTTCGAACCTAGCCCTGGACATCACACAGTGTCACTTCTGCCATCTTCTTTCTATTCGTTAGAAGCAAGTCACTAAACCTGGCCAGCTTCCAGGGCAGGGAATTCAATTCCACTTTTGGATGGGAGTAGAGTTGAAGTTGTGGATGTGTTCTAAAGCTATCACAGGACCACTCCAGAGGGACAGGTGGAGAACGAGCTGGAAACCTGGGCGAGCAGGAAAGCCCCCCCTAAAAGCCCTGGGGGTGTGATGGGGGCGAGGACGCAGCCTGAAGGGGCTGCTGCTGGGGCCGCAGGAGGATGGGGGGCTGCCGCCTCCCACGCCAGGCCCTGTCTGTGGGTCTCATACTATCATTAGTGAAGATCAGTCTGAGGTCCAGTCCTGAGGCTCCAGGGAGGGGGGACCAGGCCTCTGTGAACACCTGGAGAGGGGCTTCTCCACTGTCTGCTCCCCCTCCTCGTGCAGTGAGGAGTGAGGGCCAAGGGCAGCGGGCACAAGCCTGAGACCCCCACCACCTAGGCTGGAAGGGATCACTGACCCCTCGTGAGACAGACAGGCGACTGAGAGCCCATGAGGGCAGGAGCTGCTCAAGGTCACAGGGAAGTTAGAGGCAGAGCCAGGGCTCACGCCCAGGACAGCCACATGGGGCCCTTTCCAAAGAACCCAGCCAGGCCACAGTCAGACTCTTGGAACTGGGCTGAGCTCCAGAGAGCAGAGGGGAGGGAGAGGGAGCAGAGTGGGAGTGGGAGTGTGTGAGTGTGGTGGGCAGGTGGGCTATTACCTGGAGACCGGGGGTGGGGCAGTGAGAGGAGCCACCTTGCTCAAGACAGGGGGGATCTGGGTTGGAAATAGGAAATAGGGGAGTGGGAACAACCAAGGATGGGGGTCTGTCCTAAACTCTGGGTTCAGGTTAGAGTTAGGGAGGAGGACATCTAGACCCATGCCCCTCCCACAAAGAGGTATTACCGGGACTGATTCCTGAGCTCTGTCACTCCACTGGGCTCTCACGGAGCCCTCTGGGGCAGGGAGGAAGGGGGAGAGGAGAGGCTGAGAGAAGCGCCCAGGGAGGAAGCGCTGACCATGGAGGGAAGTGCCTTGCTCCTTGGACTCAAGAGGGATGTACGTAGGACTTGGAGCTCCCAAGGACGCCGATGGCCTGTTGCTCACCCTGTGCCCTGTGCCCACTGCCCTGGCCATCACTCTGAAATGCCCACAGTCTGGCCCGACCCTGACCCTCACAGTTTCTTCTCACCTCTGTGCCTCTTTCTCCAGAGCTTTCTCACCAGCTCTCTCCCCCAAATGCCCTTGACATCCTGTGCTGCTAGGTCCCTGCATTTGTCTCCTTGCCTCATACTCTGGCTCCCCACTGGATGAACTTGTGTCCCCAGCACCCACTTAGTAACTGTTTGTTGAAAGAAGGCATGCAGGAACAGGATGTCCAACTGGAATGCTGGGGACACTGTTGTGAAGCTACAAATAAAAAACCCTTGGACCAAGCCCTGGCTAGTATGGTATTGTCTTGGGCTAAGCAATGGAAGAAAGCATGCAGTCATCTCTCTTGTGGCCACCAAGTCCCCAGCTATTAGGGCTGAGACCAGGATGGGGAGAACCAGGGTCCTGGAGGAGTGGGGAACGGTGAGGATTTCCCTTCCATGCCCCGCTCAGGTGCCATCTCATGGAGGACCTTCTCCAACTCCAGCTGGTGGCTCAGTTGGCCACATACCTCAACCCTTTGCCATCTGGGAGCTAGCCCAGAGCTCCCACCCTGTTGGTGAGAGTGATGAGTTCTGTCTCCTAGAGGGAAGCATGGTGTCCCCTGGAGCTGAGAAAGTGGTGGCCCTGGTCCACGGCGTGGACATTAGAGTTTTACTGAGGTGCTTTGAAGCCCAGGGTCTGCCATTTCCTAGTCGTGTGACTGTGAGCAAGTGATTAACTTCCTTAGGCCTCAGTTTCCTCACCTGTAAAATATGAATAATGTGCCCCTACCTCAAAGGGTTGTTGACCCAGCTGGCTTCTTTGCAGAAATCGATAAGCTGATCCTAAAATTCATATGGAAAATACAAGGGACTCTGAATAGCAAAAGAATCTGGAGAACAAAGAACAAAGTTGGAGGACTCACACTTCCTGATTTCAAAACACTACAAAGCTACAGTAATGAAGACACTGTGGCAGTGGCATAAGGATAGACACATAGATCAGTGGGATAGAACTGAGAGTCCAGAAATAAACCCTCACATTTGTGGTCAGTTGATTTTCAACAAGGATCCCAAGATCAATCATAAGGGAAGAAGGGACTTTCAACAAATGGTGCTGAGACAACTGGATATGTACATGAAAAAGAACGAATCTGGACCCCCTCCTCACACCATGTAAAAAAATTAACTCAAGGGGCCAGTCCAGTGGCACAGCAGTTAAGTTTGCACATTCCGCTTTGTCAGCCTGGGGTTCGCCAGTTTGGATCCCGGGTGTGGGCCTACACACTGCTCATCAAGCCATGCTGTGGTAGGCATCCCACATATAAAGTAGAGGAAGATGGACACAGATGTTAGCTCAGGGCCAGTCTTCCTCAGCAAAAAGAGGAGGATTGGTAGCAGATGTTAGCTCAGGGCTATTCTTCCTCAAAAGAAACAAAACAAAAATTAACTCAAAATGGGTCAAAAACCTAAATGTAAAAGCTAAAACATAGAAGAAAACATAGACATGCATTTTTGTGACCTTGGATCAGGCAACAATTTCTTTGATATGATGCCAAAAGCATAAGCAATAGAAGGAAAAAAATAGACAAACTGAACATCATCAAAATTCAAAGCTTTTTAGCTTCAAATGACATCATCAAGAAAATGCCAAGACAACCACAGAATGGGCGAAAATACTTGCAAATCATATCTCTGATACGGGACTTGTATCTAGACTATATAAAGAACTCTTACAATTCAATAAGAACGACTCAATAATAAAAAGACAAGGAACCCAATTA